AGGGGTTTCGGGCCCTGGGGGTGTTCCTTTTTGGGGTGCAGGCGTGGAGTGTTCCGGCGGTAGCCGAGGAGCACCTTGCGGTCCAGGTGTCGGTGTTGTGCCACCGCAGCAGCAGTCCCAGCCGGTGTCAGCCCTTCGCCTGCTCGGCCTTCCGTCCCCTGACCCTGCAGCTGTTCCTCTCCTGCCTTCTCCTCCTCTTCCCGTCTACGGTCCTGTGTTCCCTCCGCCGGACTCGTCCCCGGCTCGTTTTCCTCCTCGCTCCCCCCTTGTGTCCCCTCCTCTGTCTCCTAACCGGACTCCTCCGTCTCACGTCTGGTCTCGCCGTCCCTCCCATGCTCGACCTGTCTCCCCAGTCTCGCGCTCTCACCCTATGTTGCTTCATTCCCACGCGTCTCGTCCTCCCCTTCTCCTGTTGCCCCCTCCGTCCTCCCTTGTCGTTGCTCCCCCCCCTCTATCTGACTACCTTCGTGCCACCCGTCCTCTTGTTCCTCAGGTCCTTGCCTCCCTTGTTACTGACCCGTCTGTTCCAGTTTCGAGTCTTGACACCCTTGTCGCTGCGGACGCTGACTTCGCCTCAACCCGTCGCCCGGACTATGCCACAGCTCTAGTCTCTGACCCTGCCTGTCCTCCGTCTGTCGGGGGTGCTCCTGCCCTCGGCAGTGACGTCCTGGAGGACCACCAGTTCGAGCTTGTTTTCCTGTCCGAGGCTGCTCCCCATCTCTGTTCCATGCTGCTAGTCCCTGAGGGTGACCCAGACACTTTCGACATCCCGACCCCTCGCACTTACGCTGAGGCGACCTCGGGACCCTGGGCCTCGTAGTGGATAGCTGCCATGGAGCTGGAGATGGCATCTTGGAGATGCACCGGCACCTTCGTGGACGCAGTTCCCCCGCCTGGGGTGAACGTAGTCGATGGCCGCTGGCTCTTCAAGGTGAAGCGCCCTCCTAGAGAGCCGCCTGTGTTCAAGGCGCGCTACATGGCTAGAGGTTTCAGTCAGCGTGAGGGGGTGGATTTCTTCCAGACCTTCGCTCCAACCCCGAAGATGACTACTCTTCGGGTTCTGCTACACCTAGTAGTTCAGCGTGACTACGAGCTTCACTCCCTCGACTTCTCCACTGCCTTCCTTCAGGGCAGCCTACACGAGCAGGTCTACCTGCGTCGCCCTTAGAGCTTTACTGGCACCTTCCCTCCTAGGACTCAGTGGCTCCTCCGGCGTCCCGTCTACGGCCTGCGGCAGGCTCCCCGTGATTGGCACGACACGCTGCGTGCTACCCTTGCTGACCTGCAGTTCTTTCCGTCTTCCGCAGACCCTTCTCTCTTCGTTCGTGCTGGCCAGACTCCGTTCTACATCCTTGTTTACGTGGACGATCTAGTCTTTGCCACAGCAGACAGGGACGCACTGGCCTCCGTGAATGCAGAGCTGCTGAAGAGACACAGTTGCACTGACCTTGGAGAACTGCGCCACTTCCTTGGCTTGCAGATCTCCAAGGACAGAGCAGCGCGCACCATCACCTTGACTTACTCACACTTGGTGCGCCAGGTCCTTCAGAGGTTCGGCCTTCAGCTCTCTTCTGCACAGCCCACCCCTCTGCCTGTAGACCACAGACTCTCTGCTCCAGTTCCTGAGGAGTCAGTAGAGTCCAGTGGCCCTTACGCAGAGCCGGTGGGTTGCCTCATGTACCTGATGACTTGCACTCGCCCAGATCTCGCATACCCTCTCACCATCCTGGCTCGCTTTGTGGCCACAGGTAGACACCGACCGCAGCACTGGTCTGCCGCTAAGAGGGTTCTGCGTTATCTTGCAAGTACATCGGGCATGGGGTTAGTGATAAGGAGGACGCAGGTCAGTGGTCCTTACTGGACACACAGACGCTTCTTGGGCAGATGACTCCGAGACACTCAAGTCTTCCCAGGGCTACTGCTTCAGCCTTGGTTCAGGTGCCGTCTCGTGGAGAGCTACCCGCTCCTCGTCTGTTGCCCAGTCTAGCTGTGAGGCCGAGATCTACGTCGGTGCCATGGCGGCTCAGGAGCTCCGCTGGCTGACCTTCTTGCTCACTGACTTAGGTGAGTGGCCTAGCTCTGCCCCGGTCCTGTACGCTGACTACAGGGCCATGATCCTCCTGTGTCAGGAGCCTCGACTCGAGGGCAGAGCGAAGCATATCCAGCTGCGGTACTTTCTCCTGCACGAGCTACAGAAGCGCCGCCAGGCTCGCGTAGTACACTTGGCCTCCGGTGCCAACACAGCTGATATCTTTACGAGGGTGCTTGCGCCTAAAGATCATCAGCGGCACTGTGTACAGCTCGGTCTAGTTCCTGTAGCCTCTCACTTGCTAGGGCCTTGACTTTGTACTGTCCTATGTTTCTATACGTACTCAGACTGGACTGGTGTCCTCTCCCAGTGGCTGGACTAGTAGTGCCGCCCTGGTCTTGTTCTTGTCTTGCCTGTACTCCTTCTGACTGATCTTTAGACCCTTGTCTCAGTGGCTGGACTAGTAGTGCAGCCCTGAGCTGCTTGTTCAGGACCTGCCTCTATGCAGTCTAGGGTGTGTGTCAAACATGTGTATCTCTTATGTTTGCATAGACTCTATAGGGTCACCTCTTAGAGGGTACAACACTTTGTTAAAATTATATAAGTTATAATTTAATATAGGCTTGGTAGGTTGTTACTGAACCTTTCTGTAGAGGGTACAAACCCCTTCTTGTACTCCTCTCTCTTCCTAATCCAACACCTTTTTCTTCTCAACATTCTCTCCCTTCCTAGATCCGTTTTCCTCACGCCATTCCATGGCGGCCTTCTTCCTAGTATTCTAGCCAACCTAGCCTCCTAAGTTTAAGAACCTTGAGTCCTAAGTTTCTAAGATGGTATCAGAGCCGGTCGTGTCCACCGGACCCTCTCCCTACGTTCCCGTTGCGTACTCCTACTGCATTCGCAGCCTTCGCGGTTTTCTGCCTGCCTGCCGTCGCGGCACTAAGTTGGCGCGACGGCCCCTTGTTGCCTGCCGTCGCGGCGCCAAGCTGTCGCGACGGCCCCTTGTTGCCTGCCGTCGCGGCACCAAGATGTCGCGACGGTCCCTCGTTGCCTACCGTCGCGGCGCCAAGGTGTCGCGACGGCCCCTTGGTGCAGCCGTCGCCCGTCCGCCTCGCCGCTGCGACATTGACGGTGCGCTGTGGCGGCGTCTGCGGCAGCCGACGGCATCGTCGGGCTGCGGCCGGCCGAGCGACGTCTGTGGCGTCGCCGGGCCTGCCGCTCGCTCGCCACAGACGGGCGTCCCTCAGGACGACGTCCTCCCGCCAGTAAGCGCCGCGCCATTTATGGCGCGTCGCTGAAGACTCGCCTCGCCCCGCCCCCTCCCCTCCCCCCCCAACCTGCACCTGCTTCCCCTGCATCCCCCCCTTTCTTGCTGCAGCCGATGACTGCCATGTGAGGGACCTCTCCACCGCCGAGGAGACAGGACATGCCGCCGAGAGGGCGGGGGCCGCCACACCAGCCTCTGTCGTTCGAGGCGCCGGCGCCGCCGCTGTTGCCGCAGGCCTGGAGCCGCCGCACACCGCCGCCGCCGCCGCCGTCATCACTGTCGCTGCTGTCGCCATTGCCGTCTCAAGGGGCCGTGAGACCTACCCTCTTCCGGAGTCGTTGCGGCTCCTGCTGGGAATGGGGGTGCTGGGCTAGGGGGTGTGGGTGTGGGTGTGGGTGTGTGGGTGTGTGTGGGCTTGACACTACCAAGCCTAGGGGGTGTGTTAAAATTATATAAGTTATAATTTAATATAGGCTTGGTAGGTTGTTACTGAACCTTTCTGTAGAGGGTACAAACCCCTTCTTGTACTCCTCTCTCTTCCTAATCCAACACCTTTTTCTTCTCAACATTCTCTCCCTTCCTAGATCCGTTTTCCTCACGCCATTCCATGGCGGCCTTCTTCCTAGTATTCTAGCCAACCTAGCCTCCTAAGTTTAAGAACCTTGAGTCCTAAGTTTCTAAGACACTTAGGTATATTCATTTGTACTCTCACTCTCTCTACTCAATCATTCATTCAGTTCTAAGAAGCGTGTTAATTTTTTTTAGTATTACACGTGTTTTCGGCCGTTTAAAGCTCGCGGCTAAAATAGCAGACCTGGAAACCACTTGAATTTGGTGCTTTGAAATCCGTCTAAGTACAGAATGGAAGGCAGCTTTGAGTTCAAGCCTGAACAAGAAAAGTACGTCGAAACAAATTCTCGTCGAGCTTGCTGATTGGAGGAATGGCGAAAGAACTCGTTTTGCTGTTTGTTGCGACACGATCATTTGGATGCGAATTGCGCAAATACACTGTTGTGCATCGCACGGAGTTTCTACGACGGGTTTGGGCGAGCAGCTTGCGACGAGGAAATACTGGCGCTTTATGACTGGGGAATTCAAGGGATTTCCAGGTCTGCAATTCCTGAATCAGCTACTGTTTGCCAAAAAAACACTGTTCTTGTCGCATTGTCTTTGTTCACGGAACCACGAATTCGGTCGCACGACGCGTATTGCACTGTTCACCGAATGGTTTCGTGCAAAAACAGTCGCCAGACCACCACGGTCAGATTCCGCTTTGCAAAACGAAATGTTTTTATTCTGTTTCGTTTAAGCTAAAGATCAAGTCATGTGCCAAGTTCAAGAGCAAATTAAACAGCCGTCTTGATTGCTATTATAGCCACGGGCTTTAACGCTGTCCTGCTGCCCCTAAATTGCATTGAACAAAAAATTCATGTGTTTGGAAATCTTACAAGAGTGCCTTGCTTCAAGGGGGGCTCTCTTGAAATCCCCCTATGTAATTCTAGACTCGGGCTTTGAACACCCGGTGAGTATTGAATTTTGGGGGGTGCACTATGAGGGGTATTATGGTACCTGATTCCTATGGGTGGTCTAAAACTAATTTCTGGCCCTGCTGGGGCAGCCGCTAAAACCCTCAATTTTCTTCACTTCCACTCCACCCCAACCTCCATCCATGCCCCTTCTTCGTTTTTGTCACGGGGTCATGTGCACAAATTGCCCCTCTCGAAACTAGGGCGCACTATTTTCACCACTACTGCCATTGGCACCACGGCCATAAGCACTTCCATTGTTCTCCGCACCAGTGTAAGCACTTCCACTGGATTCGCCACTGCCGGTAACGCCATCGCCCCCGCTGCGATTGCCAACACCAGTAACATCACCGCTCATGTCACCCCCAGTCCAATTCCTAGTAGTAAGACTGCCGTCACCGTTGGCAACACCACCTGGCATGTTACCTCCAGTCCAATTGACAGTGCCACCGTTGCCACCGTTAATGAGATTACCACCGGTAATAACACCACCCGTGCCACCGTTGATTGAATGAACTGTGACTGTCGCTCCCAGCTGGCGTGCCTTGAAGCCTCGCAGCAGCCTGCGGGCCCCATTGGCTCGCTGTGTCACAGATGCTGTGCCTTGGCTTGCAGCAGATTTGACTCCAGCGGTTGTGCCTTCAGCGAGAGCTGGCGCGGCAAACGCAGCTGCGACTATTGCGAGGGCTAGGAAATTGGGACACCGGAGAAGAGGAGGGGGTGTGAAGATAGTACATCATAAGCCAATCGAGAACGGCCCGCCTTCAAGTTGGAAAACAGTTATGCGAAGAAAGTGCAATAACGCAGGAAATTAGGGTTCATGGCAGGCGGTGGTGACGCAAATGCGCGTGTATATTCAAGGCAAAGTCGCAAACAGCACCGGTTGTTTGAAATGGCATTTGAAGACTCACCCAATCCGGCGACGCAGAAAGGCTTCAACGATCGGACGGCCGACATCGTCGGAGAGCCGAGAATCGGAGAGAATCGCGGAGATCGCGCACAAGATTTGACCCTCGCACAGGAGACTTGAGAGCCGAATCAAACTTGTGCCAACTTATCAGTGGTAAGCTTCTGCAGCTCAATCCAGAATTGGATCGAAAACGTTTTAGGAAATATCAGAAGCGGAGGAGTGGATGAGAAGAGGTGACTCAAGGCTGTGCAATGCCTCCATTTATACAAGAGAAGGTGGTTCCACAAAAGCCGCGAGATAAGGAGGCGATGCTCTGATAGCCGCCTCGCCGCGGCCCGCTCGGCGACACGAACCGGCAAGACGTCGACATGCGGAAAGCAGAAAAAATTGCGCAAACGTCGTCGCAACAATAATTGTGGTGGAGGCTCTGATGTCAAGTGGCGATGCGAATCTAGCCATAGCCATAACAATAATTGTGCTCCGGGCTGAGGAATGATCAAGAGGAGGTGGGAAGAGAATGGTGTAGATGGAACTAGGGAATGTTTTAGACGGTTGCCGGTGGTCGAGTTCAGTTTAGTTTTTGTCAGATAGGGGGAGCGGGGTCTCGGGCTAGTGCCAAGGTGAACCGATTCCACGTGACCGATCACAGCCTGACCGGACTACCAAAAGTTTCTAAAGCCATTTCGATCTCTCAATCGTTCCAGGACTCATGCTCACCGCTATAGAAAGCGCAGCAGCTTTATCAACCTACGAAAAAAGAAAGGCCGTGATCTGCCCTAACTCTTTCAAGCCTTCTTTTTGTAGAGCTCCTAGATGTGCAAACAGCTTTTCAGTCATTTCAGTTCGATTCACTTTCTAACCATTCCCAGACGACTCGTACCCGAACGCTATCAGACTGAACACGGGATGCAGAATGCTTTATGGTTCTGATGTGATCCGTGAAGCTGTAAACGAGGACGGTGGAGCGAAGAATGATTGTTGAAATTGCATGATCTCATTATGACTTTTCAAAATTACATCTATGTCTCTTTTACTAATACCGATCATTTCGGCATAATTGAAACTATTGGCAGATGTCAACAGGATTGCAGAAACCTTGTACAAAAGAATGACATATTTGCCATCTCGCCTGGTTCGAACACCCTTTCATTAGGCACATGTTCTTCTTGCCATTCCCCCTTACGACACATCCTCACATTTGAGAAACACCCTTCAATAGACATCCTTTACTTCCCTTTTCCCTTTCGAGGCACCATTCATGCATCTTTGCCCTTGGCTAGGTCCGTAGCCTCTGCTTCAAGCGCGTCTATCAGCGCTTTTCCAAAGGCCACATGGAGAGCATGGCTCGCCTGGTGGCGGTTGAGGGGGGGCAATGGGGAGCACAACACAGGCAGGGTTGAGATGGCAAGGTCCCTAACCTTTGAATGTGTCAGGGGAGTCAAAGAGGGCATTCCGGAAGGCCACATGGGGAGCACGGTTTGCCTGGGGTGGTGTGGGAGCTGACTAAGTTTTGAAATGCCTAAAAGTAGGGGGGGGGGTGGGGGGAGGGGGAAGGGGGAGGGGGGGGGTGGGGGGACAGTTTTGAGATATATGAGAAAACCAGCCAATTCCTAACAGCCAAATCAGTTTCAGTATCATAACTTCAGTTTCATAACTTCAGTATCATAACTTCAGTTTCATAACTTCAGTTTCATAACTTCAGTTTCATAACTTCAGTATCATAACTTCAGTTTCATAACTTCAGTTTCATAACTTCAGTTTCATAACTTCAGTTTCATAACTTCAGTATCATAACTTCAGTTTCATAGCTTCAGTTTCATAACTTCAGTTTCATAACTTCAGTATCAAAACTTCAGTTTCATAACTTCAGTTTCATAACTTCAGTTTCATAACTTCAGTATCATAACTTCAGTTTCATAACATCAGTTTCATAACTTCAGTTTCATAACTTCAGTTTCATGACTGAACCGGGTCAGGGGTTGTGAGAGCCAATTCCTTGGGCACTTGGTTGAGCCACACAGCTAACCAATAGAGTTGGCTGGTGGCGATCGAGATGTGTGTGGGTGTTACGACTCTCACCTTATATGCCACAATGTGAGCATTGGGAATGCCACTGTTCCCCCCTCGCCCACACAGCGCCAGGTCTCCTATCAAATCCAGCAGCTTGTGCCGGCACGGCTCGAATGGTACTCTCAGTGGGGGGTTCACCCACCCACGCGTTTGACTGTGGGTGAGGGTGGAAGGGAGGGGTCCGCATGGAAGTGAGGCAAGGTCAGTCCCCCCTCTCCCACACAGCGCCAGGGTTCCTTCAGATCCTTCAGAGGGGCCCAGGAGTTCATTCCGGCACGGCTGAAGAGGTGCTCTCCAGGAGGGATCCACCCCCCCACGCGCTTGACTGTGAGGAGTCCATTTTTGAGGCGCCTCAAAAATAGACCCCACCCACGCGTTTGACTGTGGCGGGAGAGGGCAAGGGAGGGTGGGAACGAAAGTGAGGGCAGAAAGTTCATCCCCCCCTCTCTGATGCAGCGTCAGGGCTGGCAGGTCTCCTGTCACATCCAGATAAGGCCCAAAATCACCTCCCAAATAGCACCTACACCAGATGGATTCTACCTGAATAGCGCCTCCCTCAAGCTCACGTGCAGACGAGTGCTTTGTGCAGTGTGCTGTCGTTTATCCTCTCCCCATCTTCCTACCATTTATTGAGGACCTCCCCCGCGCTACCAGTTAGCACCTCCCCCTAGCTCACCTGCAGACGAGTGCATTGTCCAGCGAACCGCCTTTTATAAGCCCTGCTGCTCGCATCTGCTCCACCTGGTGGTGGGAGAGGAGAAGAGAGGAGGGATGGGGAAACACAAGCGGGGTGAGGGAGGGAGGAAGAAGAGACCGAGGAGGACCAGACAGCAGCGGCACCATGAGCCCCTCATTAGTGGGTACCTCTGATGGGCCGTGCTGCTTTCACCTGCTGCACCTGCTGGTGGGACAGTGGGAGGGAGGCCAACACATGCCGGGTGAGAGAAGGAGAAGGAGAGGGCAGGAAGAGTCTGCTTTTGAGTCGACTCAAAAGCAGACCGGGGAGGAAAAGACTGCATGGTCCAGTGAGCCGCCCCTTATGAGCCCTGCTTCTCTCTCTCACCTGCTCCACCTGCTGGTGGGACAGTGGGAGAGAGGCCAACACGTACGGGATGAGGGAAGGAGAAGGAGGTGCACACAACACACCCATTCACTAGCTTTCACGTGCCCTCAACCCCCTGCCCTCTACCTGTTCAAGGATGCAGAACGTGCGAGCAGGGCCGATGCCTGTCACATACTCCCTGTTGACGCATACAACACATGCCTTCACATGCCCTCGAGCCCCCTCCCTACCTGCTGCTCAAGGATGCAGAAGGTTCTAGCAGGAGCAATGCCAGACACGTAGTCCCCTGTCGTTCTGTTGATGCATACAGCACACCCCTTTACATGCCCTCATACCACTCTCTACCTGTTCAAGGACGTGGACGGTGCGAGCAGGGGCAATGCCCGACACGTAGTCCCCGCACTCCTGAGGCTGCTCTCCCTGCTCTCCCTGCTCTCCCTACTCTCCCTGCTCTCCCTGCTCTCCCTGCTCGCCCTGCTCCCCCTGCTGCTACCCCTTCTCTTGTTGGATGTCTCTAGGTTCTGTCATAATCCACCCACCCTACCTGCTCAAGAATGCAGGTGAGAGCAGGAGCTATGCCCGACACATAGTCCCCGCACTCCTGAGGCTGCTCTCCTTCCTATCACCACGCTTTCTCATACCTCTGCCGTGTTGCTGCTCTCTCTACATGTTGCAATCGAGCTCCACGCACTCAACCTGTTCCAGAGTGCAGAAGGTGCGAGCAGGAGCCATGCCTGACACATAGTCCGCTATCGTTCTGTTGACGCACGCAACACACACCTTCACATGCCTTCACACACCTTCACATACCCTCGAGCCGTCTCCCTACCTGCTCAAGGATGCAGACGGTGCGAGCAGGGGTGATGCCCGACATATAGTCCCCTGTCGTTCTGTTGATGCACACAGCACACCCCCCTTACATGCCTACCTGTTCAAGGTTGCAGAAGGTGCGAGCAGGAGCAATGCCCAGCATATATTCCCTACATTCCTGCGGCTGCTCTCCCTTCCATTCCCTTGCTCCCCTCTCGTCCCGTCTCTCTCTACGTGTTCCCACCAGCTCCAACCTCTCCACCTGTTTGAGGATGCAGAAGGCGCGAGCAGGAGCAATGCCCGACACGTAGTCCCCTGTCGTTCTGTTGATTCACACAGCACACCCGTTTCCATGCCCTCATGCCTCTCGCCCTACCTGTTCGAGGATGCAGAAGGTGCGAGCAGGGGCAATGCCCGACATGTAGTCCCCACACTCCTGAGGCTGCTCTCCCTGTTCCTCATGCTCTGCTGCCGCGTCTAGTTGTGGTTGTTGCTGTGCTCGTGCTGGGTCCCACGACACCCACTGCCGCCCAATGGCAGGCACCTGAGGGGAGGGCCGCACAGGAGTGAGTCAATGGAGTCAAATACGCCGTCTGCACTCGTAGAGCACTGTGCTCGTGCTGGGTCCCACGACATCCACTGCTGGCCGATGGCAGGCACCTGGGGGGAGAGGAGGCATGCAATGGGGCGGCGAGGTGACAATGAGTTGAGCAAGTTAGATAACGCCACGTGCTGTGCTCTCTCTGCTTGCACTGCCACCCATGACACACACTGCCGCCCAGTGGCAGGCATCTGCAGACAGAGGGGTGGACCAATGGGGTGAATGGTTTATCAATGGGGTGGACCAATGAGGAACAAGTTGCGGGCGAGGTGATGGCAGTACAGGGAAGGGGTGAGTCAACATGGGTGCTCATGGGGAAACTCCACAACTCACATTTTGAGTCGACTCAAAAGTCATCTACTTATGGGGAAACTCCACAACTCACATGCGGCAAGTTGATGCTTCACATGGGTAGGTGCGAAGCGGATAGGCCTGAGGGAATGCAGCAAGGAAGACGGTGGCAGAGAGCGTGCAAGTAACAGTTCCACTCCACTGGCGCAAGTTAATCTCTCAGATGGGTGGTGCTTACATGGGGGAAGTCGATCCCATAGGTGAGAAGCGGAGAGGCCCGGGGGAATGCAGCAATGAAAGAATCTCCATGCTGCACCGTGATTGGTCCTTTCCCCGGTAAATTCCACCTCCTCCTCTCAGCTGTAGCCCCAGCAACAGTGACTGTAGCCGGCTCTATCCCTGCTGCCATGATGTGCCGCACCCAAACCGCTGCTGAGCCGTCCAGCAGAGGCATCTGAGAGGGGGGGGTGTTTGGGTTAGAGATCACTCAGTGACAAGGGGACTTTTGAGGCGCCTCAAAAGTGTTTGGGTTAAAGATCACTCAGTGACAAGGGCAGCACGAACTGCCTTGAGTTGCAGCCGGCTCTATGCGTGCTGCCACGGTGTGCTGCACCCAAACTGCTGCTGACCCATCCAGCAGACGCATCCAAGAGGGGAGGGGGAAGTGGGGGAGGTTTGAACATGGATGGAAACAACGACAGGTGCAGTGCAATTGCTTTGAGGTATAGCCGGCTCTATCCCTGCTGCCATGATGCGCCGCACCCAAACCGCTGCTGAGCCGTCCAGCAGAGGCATCTGAGAGGGGAGGGGGGGGTCGGCGAGGGGGCAGAACCAGCACCATCCGCACTTCTGTTGCTGCCACACGGTGTAACCGGCTCTATTCCGGCTGCCATGATGTGCCGCCATGATATGCCGTCTCACCCAAACCGCTGCTGAGCCGTCGAACAGAGGCATGTGAGGAGCGGGGAGGGAGGGGGGAGAGGGGGAGGATGCGAAGGCATCACTGTCAACAGCTGGCGCATGTGAGGGTACTTGCAGCGCGCTCAACCACTCCCCCTGCAACTTCTTCGGCGCCTCGAAAATACATGCAACGCCCTCGCCCTCCCTGCTGCCATGCGAAGCACCCACTGTGCTGCTACCCATCAAACAGAGGCATTCGAGCAGGGGGGAAACGAATGGAGGGCGGAGGGGAAGGCGCGAGAATTGAACATCATTCAGCGACAAGGGAATAAAAAAACCCTCGAGTTGTGGCTGGCTCTGTGCCTGCTCTTGTGGTGCGCCGCACCCACCGAGCTCGCTCAACCTCGCTCCCCTCTTTACTTAACGTCTTTCCCCCTCGCATCGCACAAAATTCCTCTTGAGGAGTCACGCACCCTTCCACCACCTCTGCCCCTCCGTCCCCTCGAACGATGCAGCTCTCCACGCCACACCCCTCCAGCGCCCACAGCACGTGCCCCACCGTGCCCACCCGCACTCTACGCTCTGCACGCCCACTATACCTACCCACACGCCTGTGAGACTCGTGCCCGCCCTACACCCTGTACCAGCAGTGCGAATGCATACGGGCTCACCTCTGCTCCCCCTGTCACTCAAATCACGCAGTTGTCCACGGCACACCCCTCCAGCGCCGACAGCAGTCCATGCACACTACAGTCCACGCACACTACAGTCCACGCACACTACAGTCCACGCACCCTACAGTCCACGCACACTACAGTCCATGCACTCTACAGTCCATGCACACTAGTCCACGCACACTACAGTCCATGCACGCTACAGTCCATGCACACTACAGTCCATGCACACTACAGTCCATGCACACTACAGTCCATTCACGCTACAGTCCACGCACGCTACAGTCCATGCACACTACAGTCCTGTGTGGCCACACGTCCTTGACTGCCCTGTACCACACTGCTGGCAGTGTGAGCGCGCACCAACCTCACCTCTCCCCCTCCGTCCGAATTGCACTCTCCTGCAACCAAAAGTATTGACCGCCCAACACCCTACGCCTCACCTCTGCTCCCTCCCTCCACTCGAATGATGCACTTTTCCACGCCAACCCCCTCCAGCACGGCGGATAGCAGATGCTCCACTGTGCCCACCCGCACTCCACTCTCCTGAGTTGTCACAAATCCTAGACTTCCCGGTACATATCCCAGCAATTGGGAATGCGCACCCACTCACCTCTCCCCCTCCGTCCACTCGAATGACGCAGTTGTCCACGCCACACCCCTCCAGGGCGGATAGCAGATGCTCCACCGTGCCTACCCGCACTCCACTCTCCTGCACGCCGGCAGCTCCCAGCACGGTGGACAGGCGAGTGTCCACCACATTCCGAACATCTGCACCGATCCCCACCAATCCTCTATCCCCAGGCACCACCACATGGAAGACTCGCCCAGCCCCAGCAGCAGCGGGCAGCAGAGTGACAGTGGTTTGTAGGCCTAGGTGCAAGCCGACGCCCGACACTGAGACAGAGGACGATAGGGTGGTCTGCAACTCGCCTGTCTGGAATGGGAGAGGTGGAAGATGGACGGGGTTGTGGGAGGGTGGAGGGGTGGAGGAAGTGGGGGGAGAGAAGAGGAAGGGGAGACTTTTGAGTTGACTCAAAGGTCATCGACTCAAAGGCCATCGACTCAAAGGTCATCGACTCAAAGGTCATCGACTCTCCCGCACCCAGCAGCAGCGCGCAGCAGAGTGACGGTGGCGTGTAGGCCCAGGTGGGGACAATCGGGTGGTCTGCAGGTCGCATGTCTGGAATAGAGGAGGTGGAAGCAGCGAACACAGGGGCGGACGAGAGGATGAAGGGGAGGCGGACGAGAGGATGAAGGGGGGCCGGACGAGAGGATGAAGGGGGGGCGGACGAGAGGATGAAGGGGGGGCGGACGAGAGGATGAAGGGGGGGCGGAAGACTCTCGGCGACCCAGCAGCGGCAGGCCGCAGAGTGACGGTGGTGTGCAGGCCTAGGTGCAGGCCTAGGTGCACCCCTAGGGGCCGGCCTAGGTGCACCCCTAGGGGCCGGCCTATGCCCCTAGGAGCCGGCCTATGCCCCTAGGGGCCGGCCTATGCCCCTAGGGGCCGGCCTATGCCCCTAGGGGCCGGCCTATGCCCCTAGGGGCTGGCCTATGCCCCTAAGGGCCGGCCTATGCCCCTAGGGGCTGGCCTATGCCTGACACTGAGACGGGTGACGAAAGGGTGGTGTGAAGGTCGCCTGTCTGGAAGGGGAGGGTGGCGGAAGGGGGTGGCGGAAGGGGGTGGCAGGAGAGGTAGAAGACGAGGGGGGGTTATCGCCTCGCCCAGCCTGGCCCATTCGTAGGCCTAGGAGCAAGAAGATTTGTCTTGACACCCAGCAGCGGCGGGCAGCACAGCCGAGTGACTATGGTCCGTACGCCTAGGTGCAAGCCTATGCCGGACACTGCGATGTGTGCGGATTGGGTGGTCTGCAGGTCGCACGTCTGAAGGGTGGGGGGGTGGAAGAGAGAGGGAAGGGGGGGGGGGGGGGGGGGGGGGGGTGTTAGGTGAAGCTGTAGGGGAGGTGGAGATTAGGGGAGGTGGGGATTAACAGGTCAGTGGGAGCTCGGCGCGCTTCACTCACAGGTTGGCTCAGCTCGTCCCATGGTTGTGATGACGCACGAGGCGACGACAGTACGGCAAAAGAGCGACGGAATAACGGGTATGAAATCCGCGGCGTTGCGACCCTGGCGCCCGTCAATCCCAAGGCTCTTAGCGAAGCGAGGCGGCACGCCATCATGCAATGAAGCTTCCCCGCAGATTCGCGGCTATCATTCAAGGGAGAAAACGATGCTCTGGAAAGATTCGACTGGAAATTCGAAGCGCGTCTACCACTGGTTACAGGTCCAGCGGAATTCGCGGAATGGCTGAGATCCGTTGCCACGTGGCGAATCGGACGAGGGATGGCGGACATGATTGAGCGGGGAGCAAACGATGGAAGCGGAAGCGGAAGCGGAAGCGGAAGCGGAAACGAAATTGTAGGCCGGCTTTTGAGGTACAACTGAAAACACCCTCACACCGAGCGGCAGCGCAGCGGGAAACGCGGCGGAATGCGCGACTGGGATGTGGGAGAATGGGCAGCCCAGAATGGGGCTGGAGGCAATCTTCGGTAAAGGATGCTCCGTTTCGGAATCTCTGTATGCGTGAGTAAATCCGAAACGTTGTTGACTAGAATTTGATATTGTATTTCATCATTTAATTTTCTGTTCCAGTCGCTAGCAGGCATATTCGGACACGGCTCGTTTCAGTTCCGCTTCGAATCAATGATGGTGGAGCGTCGCGCATGTACAGTTCCGATTGGTCTAGAAGTCGCAACAACAGCTGACGAACCCGGATGAAAGGGTAACTCGTTTCAGATCAAATCATCGCAGACGGGCTGAATTCTAGAAATCGCCACATCCCGCGCTCGGAATAGGGCTCACCTTACTGCCATTCAAGCTCAAGAATCTTCAACTTGAAACCTCACCTTCTCAAGTTGAACCACCCAAATCCCGCACCCTGCTGAAGTATTTCCAACTCCCGCTTGACGATTCAGACAATAAAACCATCCAATGAGTATCCTTCCGCACTCGCGATAGCCTCTAACGCGTACAGCAGCGACCATGGTTCGCAAGGTGGTGCGCGGCCGCGTCGAGCCGCTCGCCGCCGTCGTCTCGCCGCAGCAGGCGGCGGCAGCGGCGGCGCACATCGCGCAATCGCTAAAGGAGGAGCAAGTCAACGCGGACCGCCTGAGACGGTTCAAGCAGGAGAACGCGGAGCTCTGCTCAATAGTCCGGTCGCTACCCGACAAAACGAGCCACGCTGTCATGGTGCGTGGCATCCACGAGGCATTGATCTGTGGTCCCCCTCCCCCTCCCCCACCCCCGCCTCCCCCCCACCCCCCCCCCGCCCCCCCCCGCTCTCTCCCCCCCCCCCCTGTTTCTTGAGGGATCTCTCCCTGTGCCTTTCCAAGCGCACTCTCCCTTACGACTGGTATCCAGCGGTTTTCAATAAGGCGGAAATTGGTGTTTGATAGAATCACTCTTCGGTAGGGCACCACCCCTGGACTCCGCCCCCTCTCGCTCCGCCCCTTCCTTACCTGCGTGAGGAGTCTATTTTTGAGGCGCCTCAGAAATAGGCTCCTCCCTGCACTTCTGAAGCTTTCGTGTCCTGGGGCTCGTGTCCTCGTCGCCCTGGGGCTCGTGTCCCCTCACTCCGAGGGCACTGGGCAAGACCCTCATCCTCATCCTCCCTTGCTCCTTCCGAACGCTGGATCTCCTGCAATCGTTCCAGGATACCTAGTCATCCGATCGCTTGTGTGTTTGCAATAGTTCTTGCGGTCATTGGTTTTTGAGAATTCTCAAGAACCAACTCAAGCTCAACAGTCCTTGTGCTCACAGCCTGGGATACGAGCGCCTTAAGAACCTGCGAAACACGTCACCCATGTTCCCAGGTTTCGCAAGCAGCACTTGTCTCCAGGCCTCAAAAGCAGCACTCGTCTCCAGGCCTCCCCCTCTCTCCCCCCCCTTCTCTCCCCCAGCCCCCCTCCCCCCGCCCCTGTCGTCTCCCCCTAAACTTGAAACGCGTTACAGACCTCCCCAGGTTCACCTCTGTTGCGCTGCGCCCCGAGGCCGCGTCATCCACACTTACGCGCCCACAATGCTGTTGGGAGATGGCATCAACAGGTCTCCTTTGCTCGCGCTGACATGAGAAATATCAGTAATATTTTCTGCCTTCTCGCAGTCTGAGGCCCCCTTTGGCCGGGCAGCTTACACACCAACGAGATTACCCTGCTGCTGGGAGACGGCATCTAGGGCGCACTGAAAGGGCAGCAGCTCAACGTTTGAGTCGACTCAAAATTCAAATAGGGCGCGCTGAGAGGTCAGCAGCTCAAGTCGTGGGGGTGCTGCGGCGACCAGACCATTGCATTCCCACACGCACCCTCTGGTCCCAGACCATTGCATTCCCACACGCACCCTCTGGTCCCAGACCATTGCATTCCCACACGCACCCTCTCACACAGGCCCCCCATCACGCTCCCTTGGGCTGAACTGCACTCTTCCTGGCCGTGTCGTGCACACCAGCGAAATGAATCTCCTGCTAGGAGACGCCATCTACGCCGAACGATTGATCTGCTTCCCAGGCGGTAGGGGTGCCGCGGCAACGGAATGGAGATGCGCTGTGTGCTCTCCTACCCTCACACAGCTGCTCCTTCCTCCCACCCCTGTTTCTCCCATCAGGTCCCCTTCGGCCGGGCTGCTTTCTTCCCTGGTCGTCTCGTGCACACCAACGAGATGACCCTTCTGCTGGGAGACGGCATCTACGCCGAAAGATCCGCCACCCAGGCGGTGGGGGTGCTGCGGCGACGTGGCGCGATGATAGAGCGCCAGCTGGAGGGGTGCCAGGCCAAGGTGGAGGAGCTACGTGGCGAGCTGCGATTCGCCGAGCAGGCTGGGGCGGATGCTGAGGTGAGAGGCGGGAAGGAGAAGCTGGAGGGTAGGGGAGGGGGGAGGGGGGGTTGTAAGGAGAGGTCGGTTTTGGGGGGGGGGGGGGGAGGAGGAGCAGGGAGGAGAATTGGGGATGGTGCGGTGACTGACTGACTGACTGACTGACTGACTGACTGACTGACTGACTGACTGACTGACTGACTGACTGACTGACTGACTGACTGACTGACTGACTGACTGACTGACTGACTGACTGACTGACTGACTGACTGACTGACTGACTGACTGACTGACTGACTGACTGACTGAGGTGCGACTAGCAGAGCAGGGTGGGGCGGATGGTGAGGTGAGTGAGTGAGAGGCGGGAAACAATTGCAAGTCAGGTCTCGCCAGATCTTCCTCCTTCACTCTCTCTCACAAACGCGCACACAACAGCAGGGGTGTGTGTAGAGATACACGAGTGTGAGAAGAGAAGGAGGTGGAGGGGGAGAGAGGGAGGAGGAAGGGAAGCTCCCAGATTTGTTTCACATATTTAACCTTTCCCGTCGCTTCCTGTACATCCTCTCTCTTTCTCGCTTCGCGAACTCGCACTCAACAGGAGAGGTGTGTGGAGATACACGAGTATGAGGAGGAGGTGGAAGGGGAGGAGAGGGAGGCGGAAGATTTCTTTTGTCAGGTCTGTTTCACAGGTTCAAGCTTTCCTTTGCTTCCCTCTCTCTCTCCCTCCCTTCCTCCTTTTCTCCTCCCTCTCTCTCTGCCTCCCACACAAACCTGTTCACAAACAACAGGAGGGGTGTGTGGAGATACACGAATATGAGGAAGAGGTGGAGGGGGAGGAGAGGGAGGCGGAAGGGAAAGGCCAAGGACTATCACAAGCGAAGGGAGGGGCAGGCAGAGCGGAGGAAGAGGAGACGGTAACTGGGAGAGTCACGGGAGGAGCAGCAGGGGATGCTATGGGGAAAGAAGTGGGGTTGTCAAAGGTAAAGGGTGGTGGGGATGGTGGTGGGAGTGGTGGTGGGAGTGGTGGTGGGAAGGAGGAGGGGGATGAGGAGGGGGACGAGGAGGATAGGCGCATTGAGGCTCTATTTTCTGAGATGGAGGCTGCAGAGGCGGCTGCTGCTGCTGCTGCTGGTGAGGGGGATGAGGAGGAGGACGAGGAGGAGGAAGGGGATGAGGAAGATGAGGAGGAAGAAGAGGAGGAGGACGATGAGGGATTTGAGGACGAATGGGAGGAAGAGGAGGAGGAAGAGGAAGAAGAGGAAGAGGAGGAGAAGTGGAGAAAAGAACGAGAGAGCAAAGTGGACACTGAGCACAAGGTGTTAGAAGACGGCATGTCTGCAATAAGCATAGCCGCCCCAGAGGAAGGGGAACAGGGGAAGGCGATCAAAGGAGAGCGAGCAGGTGGGGCAAGGCAGCAGGGGCAGAGTGTCCTGCAGCCAAAGCCCACAGAGAGACCCCAGGCAAAGCCAATGGCCCCATCTGCCAGTCAGCTTAAGGTGGGTCGGGAATGAGGGTAGCTGGAGTGGGAGGGCGAGCAGCAGGGGAAGGCGGTAGAAGGAGGCAAGGGGAGCTATCCCCTCACAGATCAAGCAGAGGGACAGAGGGAGATGACCCCATCAGCTGGTCAGGTCAGGTGGGTCAGGAGTGAATGTAGCCGCAGTGGGAGGGCGGGCGGGGAGGGAGGGCGGGGAGGGAGGGCAGCATAGGAAGGAAAGAGCCGTTCACAGAAAAGAGGAGATCCGAGCACCTCTCAAGGTGGGTTATTACAATGTGACAGCAGGGAGCAATGCGACAGGGAAAGACGCTTGAGGGAGGCAGAGGAACATCACGGCAGGTAAGAGCGCTTTTGAGGGTTTAGGGCGCCTCATCAGAGCCTCTCGCAGGAACGGAGAGGGCTCAGATTGAGGCTCTGTTTGTCCGCAACTCAAGGTGAGTCTGCAGTGAGTAGAACTGCAGCGGGAGGGCAGGGAGCGGGAGGGCAGGTAGCGGGAGGGCAGGTAGCGGGAGGGCAGGTAGCGGGAGGGCAGGTAGCGGGAGGGCAGGTAGCGGGAGGGCAGGTAGCGGGAGGGCAGGTAGCGGGAGGGCAGGTAGCGGGAGGGCAGGTAGCGGGAGGGCACGTGGCGGGAGGGCAGGTGGCGGGAGGGCACGTGGCGGGAGGGCACGTGGCGAGAGGGCAGGTGGCGGGAGGGCAGGTGGCGGGAAGGCAGGTAGCGGGAGGGCAGGTGTGGGAGGGCAGGTAGCGGGAGGGCAGGTAGCGGGAGGGCAGGTAGCGGGAGGACAAATACCTGGAGGGCAGGTAGCGTGTGAGCGAGGCAAAGGAGTGTCGTAGCTGGGAAAGAGACTCTTACAGGAAGGAGAAGATTGGCTCACCTTGAAGGCGAGTGGATTCAAATCGCCGTCGGTAAATCAGCTCGAGGCAAGTTTGTATCATCCTACCAGATCATTCTCTCACATTTCTGTCACCCTCTCCACCTCCTGAATTGCCGTGCCTTTTGCACCGTACTCCTTGTGGCTACTTCCTGCGTTCCCACTGCAACAGGCGTTCTCAGGAGCTGTTGTGGAGCGAACTCCCGACTCCTCTGCCCCACCGCAACTCCCTTTTGTGGTAAGAGGCACACCTGCCCCCCACCTGCCCCCCACCTGCCCCCCACCTGTCCCCCACCTGCCCCCCACCTGCCCACCCTACAAGTGCTTGCTTCGTAATGCCCGACTCCAAATCCCTGGCGCAACTCCCTTCTCTGGTAAGTAGCATGCTTGCTCCCCACATGTCCCTCTCCAAAGTGCTTGCTCTGTATTGCCATTCTGCTCTTCTCCCTCCCCCCATCCCCCCACCCCCCGACCCCGCTGTTGTCTCCTCTTGCTGTTGCTGGAAAATCGAATGCATTGGTACTGCGACGAGCCGATGCAGTTGCTCCTCTAATAACAATACAAGTGGGATACAGATACAAGGTATCCTAGGACAGTCAATAGAGGCAGGTTTCAGACAAGCATTATAAGACAGTCGTTCACTGATTTCTCCCTCACCCCTTGCACACTCACATTCGTTCTCCCCCCCTTTTTCAGTCCATCCAGCCATCAGCACCATCCAGGCCTGTCTCGCGATTCAGGCAGCGCCATGGGGGTCACTAGTGACAAGAGGCAGCATCTTCCGTGCAGTTTCCCAGACATGACCTTCACATCTCCCAATATGCTGCTGTGCTTGACGTCATTCAGCGCCACCCTGCCTGTTCATTCATAACAAATTGCGTACTACAGTAACACTCTCGCGCCACCCTTCGCATGCACACAGAATTTCCTTCCCCTCCCCTTTTCGCGAAACGCGATTTCGTGGCTGACCAACCCCGTAGGGCGTGTCCCACTCGTACACTCGACCGCGGTCGGGAACGGTTCAAACACTTGACCGCTTTGGAACATATAGCACCAGATTCAACCGTACTAAGTGAATCTAAAACAAAGGCGAGGGACACGCCCTAATGCGTCGGATCTGGACCTTGCCTTGAAATCTCCGCTGCTCTGACTACTGCTGAATTATTGGACGATTATTCTTTCAAGGCTAGGGGAAGGCGAAGTCTGCCGCACGAGTTTCCTCATTGTCCTAGCGACGCAGTTTCGATGCCACCTCGCGGCCTCTTTCCCGCGATTATGCTTGCTGCCGGCCATCTCGCCAGTCCCCCACCACGACGACCGTCGTCGCACAACGATGACGTCTTGCCAGTCCGTTTCGCCTTGCGCGACGTCGCAGCGAGGCGCGTCCTTCTAGCTCCGAGCTCGAGTCGATACCATCCTCAGCCTTCACCGCTGGAGCTTCTCTGGAGTATACCGTAATCCCCCGTATAAAACACCCGCCGGAATTAAGCTCCCCCGGGTAGCTTGAGCGGGTATGGGTGTTTAATTTTTCTGGATATACACAACACCCTACTCTCGGACGTGAAAACATTTGAACACCCCCCTGCCACTAGAATCTCCATTTCTAGCAGGAAATGCCAGAATTTCGTGTTGCGTCGTTCCGCGGCTCAATCGCAGAAAAAAACTGCTCGCGCCGAAAATTTACTGTACAGATTCCCGCGTGTCGGAAACAATGTCGCCTGAACAAAGGTTTTGAAACATGCCCATGAATCTCGGCAGGCTGAACCTGACGTTGCACCTTATGGAACAGCACTAAAATATTTCGCGTCAGAATTCGCGACACTGTAGCTCGCGAGCCTGGGAAGGTTCCCTTGGAAGAGGCTACGCTCTTAGGTAGGAGACGAATCTGCCCGAAAGAAAAAAAAAATCGACGAAAACAAATCCGAAAGTTTGAGACTGTACTCGACTTTCGCGCGTCCCGCCAAATTAAACGTGTGCTCATTGGTTGTTCTGACAGCATCCTCCCTGACACTGCATGCTCACTGCCAATGTGGCATGCAGATCGGGAATATCGTCCAGTATGCAATGAGGTGACCAAAAGTGGGTATCTGACTCAAATGAATGTGGTGAAACAGGCACACTTGAATTCCAATTATAAAAACCATATGCACATTCCATAACTCCTGGGTGTTTTATTTTTTTGGCCTTTAATTACACCCAGCCCAAAATTTTGCTGCATTTTTATTAACACCATAGGGTGCTTTATACGGGGGATTACGGTAAAAGGAGGCTACGATAGCCATGATTTATCGCTCACTCTCACAGCATTCGAGGCCACTGCCATCTCATTTCCACCTTCAGAGCAATCTGAGTTTTCGCAATCTGAGCATCTTTCAGTGGCTTCGGTTCAGCGCGATTCTGATCCGCCCTGATTTCAAAGGCATTCCCGGATAGCGAGCTCACCTGCCGTTTTCCGGCTCCGAATTTCCCCATTCTCTGCTGCCTCTCTAACATCATGGCGGCCGTCAGCCTGTTGAGGCGTCTCTGCGCTGCATTGGGTGAGTGCTCCGACCTTTCCGAACGACCTTTCTGACGTGACGCGACGTGCTGCAGTTCTCAGCACAACTTACCCTTTGCACGCGACATGCGTGTCTGGGTTACTTTACTGCACACATGATTGTCTTTTCCTTTCTTTAATGGGCCACTCGTTAGCTCGTCTCACTCCCCCTCCTCCTGTTCTCTGTCCCTCCCTAACGAACACCTTTCGCCAGCATTCGCAATAATCGCTGCTTCCTTCACTCTGCCAGCACTTGCTGACGTCACATCCACTGGAGTCACATCCGCTGCTGTCACGTCCGCTGCTAGCCGTGTGGCAAAGCGCGCCAATGAGGCTCGCAGGCTGCTGCCTGGCGCCAAGGCACGGTAGTTGGGAGAGACAACTTCATTTGCTGCTGGTAACTGGGCCGGGTCTGACACCACCAGTCCTAGTGGCTGCACCAGCAGCAGTGGTGACTCCAGCAGCAGTGGCGATGGCGGCAGCAACGGTGGTGATGGCAGCAGCACCGGCGGCGATGGCGGCAGCAACGGTAGCAGCGGTGTGGACGTGGCAGCGATTCTGGAGGAGCACAACAAGGCACGGCAGGAAGTGGGCGTGCCGGGCCTCTCATGGGACGAGGGAGTGGCACTCGCAGCGCAGCAGTGGGCAGCTGAGCTCGCTTCCAGTGGATGCAACCTGGAGCACGGAGGGGCTGACGGATTCAGGTAGAACCTGTACTGGAAGGCGCCTGTGCAGCTGAACAGTGCCGAGGACCGGGCGGCAGTGCAGTCGTGGGTGGCAGAGAAGGAGGACTGGACGTACAGTGCCGTGCCGGAGGGGTGTGCGGATGGCAAGCAGTGCGGGCACTACATGCAGGTGGTGTGGCGGGATACCACGCATGTTGGGTGCGCTGCTGCCCAGTGCGCGGATGGGGGGGGCATTTGGGTGTGTGACTACTGGCCGCAGGGGAACATGATTGGGTCCACCCCCTACTAGGCATTTCTTGCGATGAGGGGAGGATGGAGAGCTGCTCTCACTAGCCTTGTGAGAGACGCATGGAAGAGGGTGAAGCAGTAGCCCTGCGAGGACCTGAGGGTCTTGGCGTCGTCTGCCCAAGAAGCGTTTGTGTGTCCAGTAAGGACCACTGGCCTGCGTCCTCCTAGCACTAACCCCATGCCCCATGTACTCGCAAGATAACGCAAAACTCTCTTAGAAGCAGACCAGTGCTGAGGTCGGTGTCTGCCTGTGGCCACAAAGCGAGCGAGGATGCTGAGAGCGTATGCGGATCTGGGCAAGTGCAATTCATCAGGTACATGAGGCAACCCATTCGCTCTGCGTAAGGACCAGTGGGCTCTACTGACTCCTCAGGAAGTGGATTGGAGAGCCTGTGGTCTAGAGGGAGAGGAGTGGGCTGTGCGGAGGAGAACTGAAAGCCGAACCTCTGAAGGACCTAGCGCACCAAGTGTAACTGTGTGAGAGTGATGGTGCGCGCTGCTCTGTCCATGGAGATCTGCAAGCCAAGGTAGTGGCGCAGTTCTCAAAGGGCAATGCAGGTGTGTCTCTTCAGCAGCTTTGCCTTCATGGAGGCCAGTGCGTCCCTGTCTGCAATGGCGAAGTCCAGGTCGTCTACGTAAACAAGGATGTAGAACGGAGTCTGGCTAGCACTAACGAAGAGCGAGGGGTCTGCAGAGGACGGAAAGAACTGCAGGTCAACAAGGGTAGCACGCAGCGTGTCGTGCCACTCACGGGGAGCCTGGCGCAGGCCGTAGACGGGGCGCCGTAGGAGCCACTAGGTCCCAGGAGGGAAGGTACCAGTGAAGCCCTGAGGGCGGCGCAGGTAGACCTGCTCGTGTAGACTGCCCTGAAGAAACGCGGTGGAGAAGTCGAGGGAGTGAAGCTCGTAGTCACTCTGAGCTGCTACGCATAGCAGCACCCGAAGGGTAGTCATCTTCGTGGTCGGAGCGAAGGTCTGAAAGAAGTCCACCCCCTGACGCTGACGAAAACCTCTAGCCAAGTAGCGCGCCTTGAAGACAGGCGGATCTCTAGGAGGGCGCTTCACCTCGAAGAGCCAGCGCCCATCGACTACGTTCACTCCAGGTGGGGGAACTGCGTCGATGTAGGTGCCGGTGGATCTCCAAGATGCCATCTCCTGCTCCATGGCAGCTATCCACTGAGAGGCCCAAGGTCCCGAGGTCGCCTCAGCGTAAGTGCGAGGGTTCGGGATGTCGAAAGCGTCTGGGTCATCCTCAGAAACTAGTAGCATGGAGCAGAGATGGGGAGCAGCCTCGGACAGGAAAGCAAGCTTGTACTGGCGGTCCTCCAGGACGTCGGTGCTGATGGCAGGAGCACCCTCGACAGACGGAGGACTGGTAGGGTCAGAGACCAGAGCGTTGGCGTAGTCAAGGCGGCGAGTAGAGGCTAAGTCAGCGACCGTAGCGATAAGAGCGTCAAGACACGAGACCAGAACAGACGGTTCGGTAACGAAAGAGGCAAGGACCCGTGGAACAAGAGGACGAGCGGCACAAAGGTAGTCAGACACAGGGGGAGGCGCAACAACAAGGGAGGACAAGGGAGGCAATGGCAGGAGGGTAGGACGAGACGCAGGGGAACGAAGCAACATAGGGTGAGAGCGCGGGACAGGGGCGACAGGGCGAGCACGGGAGGGATGGTGAGACCAGATGTGAGACGGAGGCGTCGAGTCATGAGACAGAGGAAGAGACACAGGAGGGGAACGGGGGGAAGATGAGCCGGAGATGAGTCTGGGGGAGGGAACACAGGGCCATAGACAGGAGGAGGAGGAGGCACAGACGTAGGGTCAGGGGACGGAAGGCTGAGCAAGCGAAGAGCTGACACCGGCGGGGACGGCTGCTGCGGCGGTGCGACGGCGACACCGGGACCGCGAGCTGCCGGACGGCTACCTCCAGAACACTCCACTCGAGCACTTCCAGAAGGGACACCCCCAGAGCTCAAAACCCCTCGAGCACCCGTACCACCCCCAGGCCCGCTGGGACAAGCCACGACACGAGTCCTAGGACTAGTACCCATCCCCAGGCCCGCCGGGACAAGCCACGACAGGAGTCCTAGGACTAGTACCCACCCCAACTCGAGCACCCCCAGAGTCAACGAACTGCTGCGGCGACGGCTGCGGCTGCGGCGGCGGCGGCTGCAACGATAGCTGCGGCGGCGGTGACGACAGCTGCGGCAGCTGTGGCGACAGCGGCTGCGAAGGCGGCGGAGGAGGAGACACCTGAGGAGGGGCGGCCGGCGAAGACTGCGCTGCAGGACCACCAAAGTCAGCAGACTCCTCAATTGGGACAACTGACGTGAGGGGGGTGACGTGGGACACACCAGAGGGGGTAGGGCGGGGAGGGGGAGGGAGAGGGGCAGGGACGACCGGGGAATGGGTGACAAGAATCAGGGGGGAGGTAACCGGGGGACATCGGTGAGGGAAACGACTGTAGAGGGAGACATGCTCGTCAAAGTTGATGTCGCGGGAGTGAAAGAACCGGTGAGACGGCGGTTGGTAGAACTGCCAGTCAGACGCGTCAAGGGGGAAACCGAGGAAGATACTGGGAAGGGTGCGGGTGGTGAGCTTGTTTGTGCCACAGGCACGAACGTGAGCAAGGCAGCCCGAGACGTGAAACGCAGAAGCGTCGCCAGGTGCTCGGACCAAAGAAGGGTCGGCGAAACTTGCGGCCGCTGGCGGTGCGGCCACGGGTTAAGCTGGTGAGCGGCGTAGCGAACGGCGAACGGCCACAGAAAATAGGGGGCACCGGCATGGATCATGGAGGTGCAAGCCACCTCCATAACCAAACCGATGTATCGCTCAGCGACCCCATACAGCTGCGGGGAGTCTGGCAGGGTGAACTTTTGGGTGATGCCCTCCGCACTACAGAAACGACCAAGGACACCGGAGGCAAACTCACCACCCCGGTCGGAGTGGAGACGCAGGACAGGGAGACCGTGGTGGACACGTGCAGAGACAAGCCACGGGATGAGAACGTCGGGCACCTCCGCCTTCCACTCTAGGGGGAACACAGAGGTGTAGCGGCGTCAGCGTGGTGGAGTCGCGGAAGAAACACCGGGAAGCGCCAGAGTCCAAGGTGAAGAAAAGAGCGGCAGTGGCTGTCGGAGACGAATTTAAGACGGAAGCACCAAGGCTAAACAAAGCAGGGGATCCTACGCCTTACGCAGCAGGGGAGCTTAAGCTAGGCAGACCTACACTAGGCAACAAGGGGTAATAAGAAGGAAGCACACTAGATTCATCAGCATACATCACACGTAGGGCAGTAACAATCACATCCATCTCCAGGTCAAAGATCGGAACCCTACGACGAAGCAAGCTGTGCCAGTCTGGGAGTCGGGCGACGGACCGAAGCGCTGACGAAACAGGTCCTCTAGGTGATGGAAACAGCGGACGGAGGTGTGACAGATCTTACCGCAAACGAAGCCACGGCGAGGACCGGTCTGGAGCTGGTACAGGCAGCGCGCGTCACCCGAACCACCACCCGGGAGCCCACCACGCGCACCACCACCACGTCCAGCGCCACCACCAGCGCCAGGACTCCTGGGCGGGAGACCAGTCGCTCGCCTCTGTTGCTGCTGCGGCTATTGCGGCGACTGGCGCGTGTCCGACGGCACCACCTGCGGCTGCGGAGACGGCTGCTCGGCTGCACCTGTCAGGGTCCCCTCGTGCGCGCCACCACCAGGTGACCCAACTCCACCACCACCAACACCTGAACCCCCACCCCCGCCGCCGCACCCAGCCTTGGGGCGGCGACCCTTCCCCAAGCGGACCTGGGCTGCAGCGGTAGTCTCAGCCATAGCAGCAGAACCGTCAGAGAAGGTGCACAGAGCGGGGGCACAACCCTGAAAGATAGGGACCGGCACGGTACCGCTGGTCTTGGCGATAGAGCGGTGGCGGGCCTCTATAGCAGACAGGGTGTCAACAAAGTCAGAGAGGGTGAGGTCTCCAGGGTGAACGCTAAGGAAGCGGTTTCGGGCAGTGGCAAGGCGGTCAGGGAGGCGGGTGGCCAGCTGGTAGAGAGCAGAACCGAGGGGCGGCTGGTGAGCACGAAGCTGTGTGTCAGTGCAGGCAGCACGCCAGGTCTCGTCTATAGTGCGCAGGTGGGCGGCCAGGTCAGCGACAGTGGGGAACGACGCAAGGTCAGGGAAGAGCACGGGGAGGATGAGGCGACCTACTGAGGCAGCAGGCGGGGTGGAGTAGCGCTGGATAACAGAATCTAGGAAGCCTGAGCAGTGGTGATAGACCTAAAGCGAGGGCGCTCAGACAAGGGGAGGGCATTGCTGATAGCAAGCCGTGCGACAGCATCACGCGATAGCCAGATGGAGCGAGCAAGGGCAGCGGACGCAGCGGACTCACGCTGAGCACACGAGGGGTCAGCGGGCAGCGCAGCAGGGGGGTCAGGGCAGGGGAGCGTACCGTCAAGATGGATAGACAGCGAGTGGCCATCCTGCCGCTGACGAGTGAGGTGGCGGCGGAGGTCGAACAACCACGCCTCAAACTCAATCGGCTGGCCTTCAGCATCAAAGCGAAGCACCTCCGCCATCAGCGCGGTGCAAAGCGGTGCAGTGCGGCGTCGAGGGATGCAGTGCGATGCAGTGCAAGGCAGTGCGATGCAGTGCAAGGCAGTGCGGTGCAGTGCGGTATAGCGCGGTGCAGTGCGGTGTAGGAGGAGGTGCAGTGCGGTGCAGGAGGGGGTGCAGTGCGATGCAGTGCAGTGTAGCGTGGTACAGTGCGATGCAAAGCGACGCAGTGCGGTACACGGCGGTGCGGTGCGGTGCAAAGTGGTGCAGTCTGGTAAAGGTCGGAGAAGGACGGGCCGGGCACGAGTCGGGGACGGGCCGGCGGCGAAGCAAACCCAGGGCCAGCGAGGAGGGGCGCGCCGGCCAGGGGGTCCGGCTGGGAGCGGGCACGGACGGTCAGGGGGGGGGGCGACGAGGAGATGGCGCGACCGTCAGGGG